CATGGAGCTATGAAGAGGACTGAAGGGGTTAAGGATGCTTAGCACTTGGTACAGTGCCCAGTGTAATGAAGTATCCGAGAGCTGCCTGTTACGTCCTCTGGCCGATGGGCACGCTCGTGGTACTTCCGTGCTGGGGCCTGTTAGGACTCATTGTGTGCCTGCTTCCTCCGCCATTCATATATTGAAATCCTAACCCCCGCGGTGAAGGTTGTAGGAGGTGGGGCCTTTGGGAGGCGATGAGGTCATGAGGGTGGAATCTTCCTAAGTGGGGTTAGTGCCCTCATAAAAGAGACCCCAGAGAGCTCTCTCTGCTACCCACCAACGGGAGGCTGCTGCTGTCTATAATCCCAAAAGGTCCTCCCCGGACCTGGTCTCACACCTCCAGCCTCCAGAAAGGCAGACAAGCCACCCAGTCTGTAGTACTTGTCAGAGCGACCGGAGATGCCTAAGATGGGGCGGTTAAGCTGACGTGAGCGTGGGGGCGGTGGTGGGGTGCACTCCGGACCCTGCCTGGCCCTGCATGCTGTCCCTAATGATTATGGAGGCAGCAGGTGTGATGCCCAGAAACGGCATCCTTAGGCCTGAGGCTGTGGGTGGTCAGGATGCCGACTCTCCCTGCCCAGCTTCAGTGCTCACATGCCAGCCAGAGGCTCTGTTCCCCTAGAAGGCCGCTCGTGTCTTCCCTGCGGCCCCAACCAACCCAGCCCGCCGAGCCAATGGCTTTGTCTCAGGATCGAACTCTAACCCATCTTCAGACTTGCGACCTCCCAATCAAGTTAAGCCTCTGATGTGATAAACCCAAAATAAAAAAAAAAAAAAAAAAAAAAAAAAACCCACTTTACGTGTCTTTTCAGATAGGAAGTGTGAAGCTTATGGTCAGAAACCAATTCAGTTCAACGGTCATAGAGTAAACGACCCCCGGTGTGGTCCTTGGTGTCAGGAGGGACTGGGCCAGGTTTTGACCTGCTGCTGGGAGTACGGAGTGCATTCAGGGCTTAGGGCCACACAGATGTATTTCTGTGTCTGAAATGGGTCTCACTGGGCCAAATTCAAGGTGTCCGCAGGGCTGCATTCTTTTTGGAGGCTTTAGGGGAGTACCCACTCCCTTGCTTTTTCCAGCTTGTAGAGACTGTCTGCTTCCCTTGGCTTGTGGCCTTCCCGCAGCGGCACCTGCAGGCCACATCCTTCTCCTACCACCATCTCTGCTCTCTCCTGCCTCTCCTCCATGTTGAAGGACCCTTGTAATCACATCTTGACCCCTCAGAAAATGCAGGATAATCTTTCTATGTTAAAATCAGGTGATCAGCAACTTCATCTCACCTGCTACCTTTGTTCCCTTCTGCCAAGGAATGTGACCTATCCCCGGGCTCCCGGGATCAGGACACGGACACATTGGGTTGTGGGGGATAGGTCTGCCTACCGCAGATACTAGCATTTGTGGGTTGTCTATGGTAAGCCCAGCACCGGGTGGGTGGCTTACAAACATCCACTCCCTCTCTTATTTCTTCAACAATATTGGCATATGAGGCCCAATGCCAGAGGCTAAGGCTGAGCATCCAGTGAGACACAGTCCCTGCCCTCAGGAAGCTCACAGTACAGGGCAGAGAGGGACCCGTGCATAGACACTGCTGTACGGGCTTTAGGGAGGGTGTTCGAGTCATTTATTTCATGTGTCCACACCTGTTTCTTCCTGTGTAAAATCAGAAAATTAGTCTATGGCCATACCACCCTGAACATGCTGGTCTTGTCTGGTCTCAGAAAAATAGAGTGGCAACTCTCTCTCCAAATGTTGGGAGAATCAAATGAGATAGCAAATGTACATACCCTCTTAGCAGTATGCCTCCCACACAGTAGGGGCTTAATGAATGGTAGACTATTAATATTGGTATATTATTATTAAGCATGTGGTATGATGGGCAACAAAGGAGGGGAGTCAGGGAATCAGGGAGTCACATGAGATCCAAATTGACACCCCAGGGATAAGCAGGATTAGCCAGAGGAAGTATAAGAAGTGAAAGAGAGGGTCCCCAGGCAGAGAGGGTGCATGTGCAAAAGCCCTGTGGTGAACAGGACCCTAAATCCTCATGAGACCCTCATACCACCCCAGGTCTCTTGCCGCTATGTATGTATAGGAGTTGTGCTCTCTCCCCAGAGGTCCAGAAGCCATAGGGATCCCCTGGATTTTTAGCATCTAGCTCCAAGGTGGCTGGATTGTTCACTATACATACTTTACTCATCACAAAGATCCTCACCATCACCGCACTTTGTGGCCTGCAGCCACAAAATCTGGCATCCTAATAGCCACCAACCAGTGGGCCCCAACAAGGTGTCAGGGACTGGACCAGGGCCTCTTCAGTTCACAACTTCTCTCCTCATGGCTTTATAGTTAGACGCATGTGCAAGAGGAGGAAACTTGCCTAACGTCATGCAGGGAATAGATGGGGGAACCCAAGGCTGTCTGACTCCCCATCAGGAGGGCCGCACAGGCCAGCAGCCTAGGCTTTGATGGCTCAGCCCCAGGCATGGAAGCTGGACAGAGGAAAATGGGCTGAGGCAGAGACTTTTGCAAAATAGCTAGTTTACCCTAGATTCAACTTAGTGGGGGGCCAGAGCCTGGGGTGAAGGCCAGGGCAGAGGCCAGGGCATTTGTTAAAAAGAACACACTCCTCTCTTTCCCTGAATAAGTTGCAACAGCAGCAAGCCCCAAGATCGGAAAGGAGACCCTGGCTTGGACGCTTAAGGGAGAGTCCCAGACTGCCCTCCCACCCTCAGCAGAGCCTGGCCTTTCCCAAGGGCGGGGACGTCTGATCTCAAGCTAGTGCAGGAGCCAGAGGGAGCCTCTCAGTTATCTGTTCTTTACCTTGGGACAAAGCTGGATGGACTAAAGGGAAAAAACGCACGTGGAGGATTCCTGGTTCAGGACAGTGGCTCCTGACCCCTCGTCCTCAAAGTTAGCAAACTTGGGCCAACTGTTTTCTCTTGGGGACCCCTGACCTGCATCACATCATGATATCCAGCCTACCTTCTTGGAGTTAAACTTCCCCTCTTTCATGAAATCGTGCTGATACTAAAAGGCAGTTCGTGTACACATATAGCGGAATAAATGACTGGCATCTGTGCGGTAAGGGCTCAGCTCAGCAGGCCTGGGTTGCTCAGATCCTGCACATTCTAAAGAAAGGACTTGCCTTCCCTCCCGCTCCTGGGAGGTAGATAACCTCTGAGCCTCTGGAATGTTCTCCCTATTGCAGCTGGGGCCATGGGCCACACTGTATGGGTTTGCCCAGGTGGGTGACAGTAATAATATGACTTATGGAGAATGCTGGTTTGGGATCGCCGAAGGCCCTGGGCCCTGCTGCATCGGTGGACCTCTTGGGGCCCAGAGACGGATCGGCTAAGCTCAGTCACACTGGTGCTGCGTTCTTATGGGACCAATAAAACTCTGGACACCAAGGCTCAGGTGAGCCTGCCTGACTAGTCCTCTGCACACGTTCTTGCTCCTGGCACCTAAAGTAAGCCTGTCCCGTGTGACTCCACTGGCTGGGGGGTGGAGGGGGGGTGGGAGGTACCCCTGGAAACTCACGCCTGCTGGCCCCGCATGCTGCTCCTGCACCTTTCCTCTCTCTTGATGTGGCTCCATGTCGTTTTGTGAAAATAAGTGGTAATGGTGAGGGGTGATGGCTTTTCCGAGTTCTGGGAGTTCTCTGTGCAAATCGCTGAGCACGAGGGTAGCCTTGGGGACCCTGGTTACTTCCTCAGTTTCTAGCCTCTGGTCATTATGGGGCGGAGGACTCGGTGGGGACACCATGGCCTGGAGAGGGGAGGCCACCCACCCCTCCCCACCGCGGGCGGTCCAGCCACAGGGCCAAGTCCTCCCCAGGTGTAGGAATGGCACCTGTCTCGTTTAACTCAAGCCTGGGTGGGGCTGGGACAATGACACTGCAGAAAGGGGGCCACTTCTCCCCAGAACTTTGGGACAGAGGCTCTTCCAGCCATATGTGTCCTCTTTGGAAAGAAAAAATGACACTGTTTCTCCCAGAGAGAGCATCTCAGCTTTTGTCTGCTTCCTGCCAGATTCCGGTCTATCTGGAGCTCCCTGGAGCCTGCAGGAAATCTGCTTCCTTCTGCCCCTTGGGGTTCCCCTACCCCCTAGAGTTGGATAGAGGACAGCCTGGAGGGCCACTCCACCAGCAGGGCTGCCTTTCCCTAGAACAATTCCTACCCTTGAGGGAAACTGAGGCAAGCTCAACTAGGCCAAACTTTGCTCTGGTCCTTGTGACAAATTAAAAACATTGGTTCCTGAGATTGGGGCCAAATAGCTTACCCCCAGGCCAGCCTCAGTTTTTTCTTTTTTTAACTTGCTATTTGAAATGATTATAGATTTATAGGAAGGTGCAAAAAAGTACAGGAAGTTGCAAAAGGAAAGGTCCTGTGTACTCTTCACTCAGCATTCTGCAATGGTAATATTTTACAAGATCAAAACCTCTGGCTTTAAAATGATATTGGCACAATCAGGAAAGTGAGGGCTGGCAACCAGTTCATCGGTTTCACTGAATGCCCCCAAGAACTTGCACAGGTGTGAAGACAATGAGGGCTTTTAGGCATGCCTTTTCCCCCCTCTGAGGATGGATGGGCTGGCATTGGTAGAAGACGGAGACCAAGTAGCCAGGCAAAACGAGGCTGCAGAGTGACCTTAAGAGGTCATCCAAGAGATGTGGGCAAAGCTGTCTTTGGGAGGATTGGGATTGCTTGCAACAAGTTTTCAATAATGAAAACTTGGAAACATCCTGAATGCCTGGTGATTGAGACTGGCCAAGAAGATAATGACACTCCCACACAGTAAAGATAATATAGCTATTGTGATTACGTTGTAGAAGAATAACTTTTATCAGGGTAAATGTTCATGATATACTGGCAAGGGGAAAAAAGAGCAGCAAAAATAATACAGGAAGTATGATTCTTTGGGGGATAACACACACACACACACACACACACACACACACACACACAGAAACTGCTGAAGGATATAAACCCCCAAGATATTAACATATTAACACTAGTTATCTTTAGACAATGGCATTATGAGATTTTAATTTTCCTTCTGCATCTTATAAGTTTTCTATTAGAATTTTTTATTAGAATTCTTAAATTCTATTAGGACTATTAGAATTTTTAAAAAATATTGCCAGATCCACCCTTTGACCTGATGTAGCACAAACTCAGGCTCTGTGTGTCTGGTGAGACTTCCGATGGGGGGTGGTGGGGAGGGGTCCTGCTGCCCTCTGGGGTGGGGGAGGAGATGGTAGGGTGTCCAGAGTTACCTGGAGAGCAAGGGCTGGTCCTGCAGGAGAGGGTCTTTGCATGCAGGGAAGAAAGGGGGCAGCAACATTGCCAGTGCGTGGTCCAGGGTGGCCCAGGAGCAGGGAGCAGGTCATCTGGCGCCCGCTGAAATTCCAGATCCAGGCTGAGGCCTGATACTCACTCTCACCCACTTCCTGATTCTTCACCTTCTGCTCACACACACCCTGCATTCTCTACCTCCTTTCAGGAACTCCTGGCAGGGTTTAGCTCTGAACCTTCCTGAGCTTTGTGGAAGGCCTGGCTGACCTAATGGATGAAGGCTGGATGGTGTCTCCCCCATCATCCCTTTTCCCATCTCCATCCGCTGACTTTCCACCTCTCAGATGCCTCTTCCTCCAGGAAGCTCTCGCTGACTCCTGCAGGCCCCCACCATACTGCATGCTAACCTCAATCACGCATTTTAGCAGAGTTGGCCTAGTACCTAGATTATGGGACTCTGAGCTGGTTTCCTCCCTCAGTGCATAAACCTGGTCCGCTCTGGATCGCCAGTGCACTCCACAGCACAGGTCTTGGCACCAAAGAGGCACTCAACCAACCCCATAAAAGAAGAGAAAGGATCCGCTCTTCTCCCCCTGAGGCCCTGTGGCTCACAGTGAGTGGAGAGTGTGAGTGGGGGGTGGGGGGTGGTTCCTGCCTCACCCTCCCTGCCAAGAGAGCAAGCTTCCGTGGCCCCAGGCTCTTCTGCGCCTCCGACCCCACCTGCTAGTTCTTTTACTTTGCTTTTTACTTGCTCCAGTCATGGTCACGAGGGGACTGGAGAGGAATGGTGACTCAGCCCAATTCATCACCACAATGGAAAAACCCAGTCACCTGTCCTCCTGGCAGCAGGACCGGAGCTGCCTCTGAGTCTGGAAGAGCAGCAAGCCATACTGCTTTCAAGGTCCCTTCGTCTTTCACCTGCTGAAAAATCAAAGACTTGAAATACGGAGGAGCACCACCGTGGACACTGTAGACCTGCAGCGCCGTGAATCTCAGTGACCTGGGCTGCTGTGTTCCCCACACGGTGGCCTCACCGCGGCTTCACAGGTGCCTGGTGGTCGGAAGTGCACACTGTCACGCTTTTGGCCACCAGCACCTGAGTTGCCCTTCCTAGGAGGCAGAGCCCACCTCCTCCTAGAGGATCACAGAGGGTCTTTTCCCAGCCTCCCTTGCAGCTTTGGCAGACGACCTGCTCTGGGCGCCTCCGATCAGACACGCGCATGCTTGGCCATGATTTAGAAACAAATGGCACAAGGAAGACAAGGCCACACGGGAGACCATGCTGGCAAGGACACAGAAGCAGCGGCAGCAGCACCTGAGGCTTCAGAGTCAGCCATGGTCCCGCTGGATGGAGTGCCCGGTGTCCGTGCCCATGGGCAGCGCCAACTGCAGCAGCTGTGCCCACGGATGGCAGTGGCGGCTTTGCCACCAGACCAATGCTGCCGCGTTGGGCCAGAGCTGCCTGCCCTCCTTTTAGCAAAGGCTTTTCTGCTTCAACTAGCCATCGTCAGGCTCTATTTGCTGCAGCTGCCAAGACTGCTGCATTAGCTGGAATTTCCAGATGGGGAAACGAAGGCTCAGAGGCATCTTCAGAAAGGCTGTGTCTCGTCTCCAGAAGAGGTGCAGGCTGCTCTCCTGCCCATTTTACAGATGGCAAAGGGGAAGTCCAGCAAAGGCAGTGACTCAGGCAGCACCTTTCAGGTCCTTAGGAGCAAGGCCCCAGTCCCAGCCACCAGCTTGGCCCTCTGCTGGGCTCTGCCCTCCTCTGTTCAAAGCCCTGCCATCTGGCCCGTCCTCAAACAGCACTGCCTCCGGCACAGGGTGTTAAAGATGAAGGGAGCCCAAAAGCAGAAGGGACTGAGAGCTGGCCCTTCTGCTGACTCAGCAGGGACTCCTCCTTTCCTGGCATGACTACCATCCCGTCCAGAAGGGGCCAGGGCCCCCTCTACCTGCTGGTTCCCCAAGCTAAGCACCTATGCTTGGCGCAACAGCCCCCCGCCCCAGGGGTGGAGAGTGGGGGTTCTTGCAATTATATTTCTTCACCATCGATTAAGTGTCCATTTTTAAGGGTTCAAACCTGTAACCTACCCCACCTGAATGCTCGCCTGGGGTTCGTGAATTACCTGAGCCTCCTGGATCGTGTGTCCCAGTTCAAGGCCATGGCAGATGCCATTCTGCACACAGACAGACATGTCATAGTGTCAAAGCTTTTGTTAGGCAGCACTGAGACCCTCCTGGGGCCTGTGTTCCCCCCAAGGAATTCAGAACAGGCCTCATGAATTATGTTACTAGAATATCCAGTTAGTTTTGTTTGATGACTAGGTGTGAATTTATTAAAAAGGGCGGAACTCAGGGAAGCCTGAATCTCTAATACAATCATAACAATTTAATCATCAATAACAGCAACTATTCAGTGATCACTTAAACCACGTGTCAGACCCCACACTAAGCATTTTCTTCATGAGCCATCATTTAACTCTTTTTTAAAGATTTTTAAAAATTTATTTGACACACACAGAGAGCACAAGCAGGAGTGGCAGGCGGAAGGAGAAGAAGTCTTCCCACTGAGCGGGGAGCCCAATGCGGGACTCCATCCCAGGACCCTGGGATCATGACCTGAGCAGAAGGTAGAAGTTTAACAGACTGAGCCACCCAGGCGCCCCCCATTAATTAATTGTTACAAGAACCCTCTGAAAGTTCATCAACCCAATTTCAGAATATGGCACAAAAGCTCAGAGAGGGTGAGTAGTTTGTTGGACATCACACAGCCAGGAAATTAACCACCCAGCCTGTGCTCTTAAGGACTGGCTCCAGACTTGTATATATAGAACCACAGTCTCCTGGATGTTTTGGTCACACAGGTCCACTCTGTCACCACTGACATCACCCATCCCCTTCACAAAAGTGGAAAGTGAGAGGCAGGGATTTCCCCAAGGTGAGCCCCAGGGCTGTAAGGAGAACCCAAGTTTGCTGCCTTCCATGTGATTCTTTACTGTACCCCAAGCAGGAGCATGCACCCCATCTCCGGCAGCCAAGTCTTACCGGCTTCTTCAAGCAGGAGAGTCAGTTCAATGCCATGGCAGACTCCAACATAGCCTGGAGCTGAGGGAAAGCCATGACCTTAGCCCAAGCCAGCCCAGACAAAGGGGAGGAAGTGCTGTAGGATCTTCTTGACCTCCCACCCAATGTCATCCTGGATCTCCAGAATGACTGGTCCAACTCACGGTCTCTGTAAAAAAAAATAGGCTGGAATCCCGGAGAAGGCAGATCCCTGAGCAAGGTCACCGGCAGGGCCTCAACAGAGCCGCGGAGCCGTCTCCACAAGCACTGTTCTGGGCTGTCTTGCCCAAGTAAATTCTTTCAGGCCATCAGATTTCCATTCTCCCTACAGTTGGACTCCATCTAGGGGCTTTGGCGCTGCCTCATTTGGGGTGACAGGTGAGAGCAACGTCACTGGGCCAGACCAGAGTGAGCCTGAGAAAGACAGGGCTGGGCCAGTTCCCCTCCCTGAGGAGAGCAGAGACGCTGACACTCTGAGGGGGACCCTGGGGGCCCAGAACACCTTTACCGGGAGACCATCACCCCCCACGAGTTTCCCCAAGGAAACCCTGGGGCTCTGAAAACTGGACAAGGCTCCAGGGCCCCTGAGCACCAGGTTCTTTCCGACCCCCCAGGGCTTTTCCTGATCGGCTCCCAGGCGGCGGCGGGTGGGGCCAAGCCGCACGGGCTGACGGAGGAGGCTGCTGTCCCCACCGGCTGGCCAGGCTTCCCCTCGGGAATCTAAACAAAGAGGGACGCAAGGTCTCCCCCCTTCCCGGGAGCCCGACGCCGCGCGACCGCAGGGGGACAAGCGGGGCGGGCGGGCGGGGGCCTTCCACCGCACCCCGCCGGCACTCAGCGGCGGGGCTCCTTCCTCCCGGACGCTCGCTGGGCGCTCCCGCCACCGCAGGAGGTGAAAACCCAGCGCCCCGGACCGCCTGGGGCGCTGCCAGCCCGCCGGGCCCAGGCAGCCAGCGGAGCGCCCACGCCCGCCACACCCACGTGGGCACGCCCCCCGCGGCGCACCGCCCCCAGCCCGGCCCCCGCCCCCCGCAGCAGCGGCGCAGCGGAGGGGCTCCCGGCTGCCGGCACCTGCACCCGCGCGTTGGCGGCCCCGGCACCGAGGCCCCGCTCCCCGCCTGCGCGTCTGTCTCGCTCACATCACCCTCGGTGAGTCGGCGGCGCCCTCGGCCCTTCTCCCCCATTCCCCACTTGCCGCGGCGGCTGAGGCCAGTCCACCCACCCGGAGCCTCCTCCCCGCGGGCCCCGAGACTGGCCAGCCGCGCGCCCCTTCGCTCCCGCCACATTTTGCTTACGAGGGTGGCGCCCCCTCCCTCCTTTCCCGCCAGGCTCGGGGACCCCCGGGTGTCGCGGTGGGGGAGGCGCGGGCGGCAAGTCTTCTTTGTTAGGGCTACAGGCGCCGGGGGCACCCCGCCCGCCGCCGCCGGGAGTGTCACCCGCACCCACCCCGCGCGCTCCCTCCGCCTCCCGGAGCTTACCCTGACCAGGTGGCGGCGCGCGCCTTTTAGGGGTGCGCGGTCGTGCAATTGGTGGATTTTTTTAACCCGTTTTGGAGGGAGGGGGAGCGCAGCGGGGTGGGGGGGAGGCGAGAGCGCTCCTGGCTCCCGGCAGCTCCGCCTGCCTGGCTCCTGGCTCTCCTGCTGCTCCGCTCCTCGCCTCCCGCGCTCCTCTCCCGGCCCGGCAGAGCGCGCTCCCCGACGCCGCAGCGCGGAGATGAAGGTGCTGGGACACAAGATCGAACTGCTGACAGGTACCGCCGGCTCTGCCCGCGGCCGCCCCGGAGCGCGGCCCTCGCCGCCCGCTACTTTCCGAGTTGGAGCGGGAGCCCGGCGCGCCGGCCGGGGTTTGGGGCGGCTCGGGCTCAAGCCGGAGGAGGGGGGTGCGGTTGCCAGCTGATTCCGAGCTTGTGCGCTGTCTGTTCCTGTGCGGAGCCCGGCGGCGGGAGAGGACGTGGGGCTGTGCTCTGCCTGGCTGTGCTCCAGCCCATGGGGTCGGCGTTTCGCCGGCCGGAGAGCGGGCCAGCGGCCCCTTGGAGTCTCCGACCAGCTGAGCACTAGTCAGGTCATCGAAAGGGAGCTCAGAGCCCCTGCCTTCCAATCAGTGTCCCCTGTAAAAAAAAAAAAAAAAACAAAAAAAAAACTCTCTGGGCTCTCACCAGGACCCCTGCCAAAGGCCTCTTATTTCCTGCTCCCCCACGACGATCTGAGCGCTTCTCCCTAGCAAGAGAAGTTTCTTCCTGGGAGTAGAGGCCAAGTGGTCTGGGAAGTGGGAAGCGAGATGGGACCCTGGGCCTTGGGGCCCGGTGGAAACCACCTCCAGGTTGCTGTGGCTGGAGATCAATAGAGGACGCTGGGTATGCCCAGAAGTGGAGGCAGAACAGAGAGTAGGGACAGGGGAGCTGGCATCTGGAAGGTGGGAGAGCTCTCCCAGGCATGAGGTCATGGAGATTCAGGCAGGGGGAAGGGGGCTAGAAAGGGAAACATCCTAGACCCCCCTGCCCCAGCCCCAGGGCCTGGGTGGTGGAGGTGCTCAGTCAGTGTGTACTGGGGGGGATCTGTGTCCTGTACCCGTCCTTTGGCACCTGGCAGGCTTTGGTTCCTGACCTCCAGGACTGAAACCGTCTGGTGCAAGAGAACAGAGCACAGGAACCCTGGTACAAGACAGGGAAGGGGGCAGCAGTGTGGGGGTGCACTCAGGAAACAGGTTGGAGTCTGAGGTCGCTGGAGGGAAGCAGAGAGATTTGAGCGCATGGCAGTGTTTGAACTGGACCCTAAAAGACCATTTCTGTTACTGGAGAGAGAGGTGGCATTCCAGGCTGCAGATGGAGAGACCTGCTCATACACAGGCCCTGGGAGTGATGCGGAGGCTGGAGGGGCCGGAACAGGGAGAAGGAGGTCTGGTGTGCTTTCAAGCTGTGAGTGAGAGCTAACTCACCTGCGGCTCATGACAGGCTCACAAGGGAAGCCCTGGAAAATCTGCCCAGGTGCTCAGCGGGGCCACCTCTGAGCCCAGTTAGCCACCCGGGCTGGCCCTCCCCTCCCTTACCAGCTTTTCCTTGTAGAGCTCACTTGAGGCGGGCCAGCCCACAGGACTTTAAAGGGAACCGCACAGGCCACTGCACTTGCTAATGCCCTTGAGGGAAGTTTTTAGAAGCCCTTGGGTGTTTGAGCCCTACATGGAAGGCAGAACTTCTGGATCCTCCTCTTCCCCTCTTTGGCTTCAGAAGGGCCTGGAGGAAGAATGCTCTCAGGAGGCATGTGTGGGGGCTCCAGTGGGGGGTCCAGCTTTGGGGTCCTAGGGGCAGTGTGCTGTTATCTCCTGAGTACTGGGGTCAGGGCCCCTCCTCCCTCATCAGACAGGCTTGAGCGTTCTGGCAGACTCTTTAAGCCTCCTCCCCCACCCTCCCCGCTGGCCAGCTGGAACAGGATCCCCTTAGGCACTGTCACACTGTTGTGGGTCACAGGCCCCCACCCTTGCACCTCTCACCAGGGCCTGAAAACCAGGGCATCCCTTCGCTCTCTGCCTTGTGGTCTTTGTAGCCATCCCCCCAACCCCTTCCTGTCCTCTTCTTTGTCCCACAGACAAGTGTTCAAATCCCAACCCCACTGCTCCCCAGCTTAACCTTTCTGACTTCAGGTTTCTCCTCTTAGAGATGGAACTTCTGACCCCTTCCTCTGAGAGTCGGCATGAGGCTCTCTGAGGTAGCACAGGTGAGGGGCCTCGCCCCAGTGGGCACCTCTGGGGCTTCATCTTCCTTCTGGTTCCTTAATCTTTGCTGTTCCTGTAATGGAGAGCCCCCCACCCCTTCCCCTGGCTGGTTGGCCCCTAAGAAGTTTGGTTCTGTCCCTACTCCACCTTACCCTGCTCACGTGTATCTGTGAGATTTTGACCCATCTCTTCTGTCGGATGATGAGCAGGTCAGGTCAGCACAGTGCCCAGTTTATTGTGGAGGCATACAGCAAGTGTCCCATAATTGTCGGCGGAACCCAGGCACACCTAGACTGTCCATCTGATATGTCTCCAGGATAATTTCTTAGAGACCTGTAACCCCCTGCGCCCCACGTCAGCATTAGCGAATGATTCATTAAAGCTGTTGGCTGAATTCCTACTTCTCTAGCTTGTTTATAGTTTTCACATTCTCCCCATTTGTTATTATGCCCATTTTCCCAATGAGATCAGTCCCTTCATACAGCTGGGAAGAGGTGGAGCTCAGCTTCGGCCGTGAGTCCTGAGTCATCCTGTGTGTTCAGACTGCCAGGCTTCAGGCCAGTCTTTGAGCTGCTCTACACTGCTCCCATCTGTAAAATGGGATCATCACAGTACCTACCTGCTTGTGTTCCTGAGCAGTGAGCTGTGAGAACAGGCATGAATGCTGAGGGCAGTGTCCGGCAGGCAGACAGCAAATGGCAGTTGTAGGGCCAATGTCCCCAAGTTTTTTCCGTGTCCTGGGGTCTCGTCTTCTGGAATGTTCCAGTTCTTTCTCTGGCTTCTCCACACAATCCAGATTGCCCTGAGATGTGCCCCTGGGGGACTCTGCTAAGATCTCAGGTTCCTGTCACATGGGACGAATTGGGGCACAGCATCTGGAGTGACATCACAGCTCTGACATCAGGTGCAGAAACCTGACCCCTGTGGGGTCAGGAAGGTGTCTGGAAGGTGTCCGGAAGGTTTCATGCGCAGCCTCAGCATGTCTATTTGTTGCAGAGAGAAGTGGGTGGTAGGGGCCATTCTAGGAAGTCTCACGGAGGACTGATGCCCACGGTGACCAGCATTTTCCAGACGCCCTCGGTGTCTTGACTGGTGGGGAGGGCAGGGAATTGGCGACCAGAGAATGTAATGTCAGGGTCTCCTTTCTTTTCTCAGCTCCTCAGAAAATTCTTAATTTCTCTGAGCCTCAGTCTCCTGGCCAGCAAAATGGGAATAGGGGCAGTCCCTCATGAGCACCGTGAGAAGGATCCCAGGATGCTCCCAGGCCCACACACAAACTTGCTACCGTCCTAGAAGGCAGGCTTTCGGTGACTTTTGTGGTGGGGGCAAGCAGGCCATCAGTCTGCTTGCACAGAGGAAGGTGATGGCTCGTGTGCGTTTGTACGCAAACAGTATGCCTCCAGGGTGGCTTAGAGACCAGAGAGAGCTCTAACAGGGCAGATTTGGGAGTCTGGTGTGGTCCCTTGGGAGCCTTAATACTGGATGTTGGAAGTGGCTTAAAAATACCCAAATTTAATCACTTGATGTGTGATTAAAAAGCCAAACTTTTGCCTGTTCTGTCTGGAATTTCAGTGTCGTGTTAATGCATGGAATATGTAGTCCCACACAATTTTGTAGACGACCTTTAAATAGTGTTTGAGTCTTGGCAGGTGTGTTGACCCACATTTTACATGTGGGGGAAAATGAGAAGCATAGATTTATCCCAGGAGGCTGAAAATAGGATCCCCAAACCTCATCTCCCGTTCATCCATTTCAGCAAACGTCGCGGCTTCGCTGGGGGCCAGGGGGACTGCAGGGTGGGTGCGGGGGACACCTACACAGGTAAGGAGGCTGGTCTGCAGGCAGAAGAGACTTTAGAGTTGGCCCAGGGCCCCAGGTTGGGGGAGGGGCAACTTTTATGAAGGGCACGTTGGCAATGATGTATCAGAAGTTCAAAAATATGTGTGATCTGTGACTCAGCAGTTGAATTTTTAGGAACAAATAAAGATGTGTGCAGAGGTGTTTGTTCAAGGATGTTTATCCTGTAGTTCTTTAGAGAAGAAGAAAAAAAAAACTGGAACAATATAAGTGCCTAACAGCAGAGAGGATAAATGGATGCGAGTGCCGTCATACCAGGGAACCCCAGCGGCTGCAAATCATGCTACCTAAGGTGATTGGGCCACCTGAGCAGACGTTCCCTTACATTCCTAATGATAATAATAACAGTGATGACAGTTCACACCTGTATGGCATTTGGCACGTGCTGGGGCCCAGCCCTGAGCACTTTCTGTATGTTCTAACAACCCTTTCAGGCATGTGCTATTATTTCCTCCTTTTTAGAGATAAGGCCAATGAGGCACAGAGAGGTTAAATAACTTTCCATAAGTCACACAGATGGTGAGTGGCTAGCTGGAATTTGAACCAGGATATCTGGCTCTAGAGTCCCAAAATATGTTTCCAAACAGTGCGGGGTTTTTTTGTTTGTTTGTTTGTTTGTTTGTTTTTAGAAAAATCCCTCTTCAGCATGTTGATCAGCAGTGAAAAATGATGAAAGGGCATAAGTAAAAATGTCAACGGTGGTTTCCTCTGGCGAGTAGGGATTATATGTGCTTTTCACTTTTTTTTTTTTTTTTTGCTTTTCTGTGTCTCTGACTTTTCTCAGAGAATGTGTGTTACATGAAACTCGAGTTCTATTTTTAAAAACTAAAAATGAACAAACGCAGAGGGGAAAGTGCTAAATGCTGGGATTCTGATGAAATCAACCCAGTGGGAACTCAGAGGAAGAGCTGAAGTCCAGTGCTAGGGAGGGGGTGTTCTTGGAAAACTTGAGGGCAGAGCCGTCCTTCAAGGTGGATACTGAAGTCGGTTTTCCGTAAGTGCAGGGAGGAGAAAGCCACCAAGTCACCCGGAGCACAGTCAGACACACACAAGGACGGCCAGACCACGGCGGGGGCGGGGGGTGCACTAGGTGAGTAACGGCCCCCAAAGATACTCAGATCCTAACCCCTAGATCCTAGAAATGTTACCTTATAGGACAAGAGACTTTGCAGGTGTGATTCAGTT